AAGTGCCTTAGGCACTAGGCTACCAGAGTTCCCATTAATATATAATATATATACTAATATATTATCCTTATCTAGTCCCTACCACCCACTCCCCAGTATACTATATAATATTCTATATAATACAGAATGTAGGATATTATATAATATGTTGTTGTTATTATGTTATTATTATGTGCTGTCCAGTCATCTCCAACTCATAGTGACCTCTCCTTGGGTTTCCAAGGCAGTATCACTACAGAAGTAGATTGCCTAACCTTCCTTCCAAGGAGTGGCTGGTGGGTTTGAACCACCAACCTTCTGGTTAGCGATCAAGTGCCTTAAGCACTACACCACCAGAGCTCCTACTCCCCAATATATTATATATTAATAACATATTAATATGTAATATACATATTATAGTTTATATTAGCCTTACCTAGTCTCTACTACCCGCTCCCCAGTATAAAGTTTTACTTGGCTGAGCAGAGTGTGGAAGGCAAGTGAAAATTTGCAAAGCTGCTTGATAGATAGATAGATAGATAGGGAATAGATATGGATTTCAACTTTCTAAGGCATTGGTAGTTCAGTGGGAGAATTCTCACCTTCCATGGGAAAGACCTGGGTTCAATTCCCAGCCAGTGCACATCATGAGCAGCCACCTTTGTCTGTCAGTGGAGGTTGCATATTGCTATGATACTGAGCAGGTGTCAGTGCACCTTCCAGACGAAGATGGATTAGGAAGAAAGGCTTGGTGATCTACTTCCAAAAATCAGCCAACGAACACCCTGTTTGTTGATCACAACAGTGCAGCCCGTCACTGATCATGAGAATGGTGCAGAACCAGGCAGCACTTCGTTCAGTTGGGCATGCGGTCACCATTTGTTGGGGGCCGACTGGATGGCAACTACAACAGCAAAGCAGGTAAGTCTATGTGGCATTTAATTAATTATTTGCAAATCTGCATCCCAAAAGAACAACCCTGAATATATTATTAAGATGGAAACCTAGGAGATTCAATTGCAAGTGAGTGTTTGTGCTTTAAAAAAAAAAAAAAAAAAAAGGAGGGCGTAGGAGGAGGTTGTTTGTTGGATCAGCTAATCAGCTGTTCCCTACCCACCTGCCAAGAAATTCCTCACTCCACTAATTCAATTACCTAATTAACACAAAGACCTTATTGCTTTACACTAACATTTTATGTATATTCTCTCATTACTTTACCATACTGTGTCTGAGCTAACTTTATTATTATTCGTACTAGACGGGAAAACAAGATTCAGGGAGGTACTGCAAAGTAAGACAGAGACCGAATATGAGGCTTTGATATTTAATTCCAGACATGATTACACAGTACTTGGGATCAGCCAGGTATAATCTTAAGTTTGTCTGAAAATTCTTTAATAAGAGATGTTTTTAAGCTTCTTTTCAAAAGAATAATAATAGGATAGTGATTGGCTAGTATTATGCTGATTGGCTTCATTGTTTAACAGGTAGAATACCCTGATTTGGTGTGTATAAAGTACTAAGTACTTGAAGACAAACAAAGAGAAAGTACTGTGGGTTTATCTCACCCACAGACTAGCACAGCTCCCTGCACACAGTAGGTGGTCTATCAATATTTAATGAACAAATGAGTTCCTGGGCTGCTATTGTCAGCTGCCGTTGAGTCTACTCCGATTCATGGTGACCCCATGCACAACTGCACAACAGAATAGAACCATTGTGTGCCATCCTCATGATTGAGTTCCTGAGTAATGATTACAACATATGATTCTTTTATTTTACAAAGTTACATTCAAACTTCAAGAAATGTAAATATTAGTATATGCATGAGGAAAATATGCACACCAGATTTTTAATGTCTGACGCTCTTGTTGTTAGATGACATAGAGTAGATTTTAGGCTCCTAGCGACCTCATTTGACAGAGCAGCACTGCTCTTAGAGTTTTCTAGGCTGAAATCTTCATAGAAGCACATCTCCTTAGAAACATTCGGTGGGTTTGAACTGCCACCCTTTAGGTTAGCAGCCGAACACTTAACTGCTCAAAAAACCAAACTCACAGAAACTTGGTTTTGACTCATATCAACCTCTATTGGGTTTCCAAGGCTGTAAATCATTACAGAAGCAGACAACCCAATCTGAGATCCTCAAACCACTGACCTCCTGGTTAGCAGCCAAATCCCTTAATCACTTCACCACCAAGGCTCCATAAGCATTAGATGATTAAAAAGGAAAAACTAATGGGGGGAAACACACACACACACACACACACACAGAGACACACACTATAGCACCCTCACACGACTGTTACTAGTGGAGCCAAGCAGATCTGGATTTAAATCCCAGCTCCTCCAAGTATCTGCTGTATGATTGGGGCAAGTTGCTTAATCCCTTTCTTTCATTTTTCTCTCTTGATAAATGGGGATTATAACAATAGTGTATGTTT